GGCCCCGCCCCTCCGCCCCGGGGCCCCGCCCCTCCGCCCCACCCACGGCCCGCCCCCAGCTCCCAGCAAACCCTGCGCCGCCGCCGCGGTGGCAGGACTCCAGCTCCCGCCATGCCGCGGGCCCAGGGTACTGGAGTTCGGGATCCCAGAAGACACCGCGCGCCTCGGGGGCCGCTCTAGCGCTCCGTCCGTCGCACTCGCCTGCGGAAAGGACGGGTCCCCCGAAGGTCCACGCGCGGTTTCCCGCTGGCTCCAGCACAGGGTTCACACCCTGTCACCCCTGGATCTCGTCTTGAAGTACTTTGGCTGTCTTTGCGCGCTGGGGCAGGGGCTGGAGACCGAGACCCCGCCTCAGTGCTGAACGGCCTTGCCCCGGACTGCAGGCCATGGACGCTTGCTGTATGCCTGCACCAGTGGCGTCGCCCGAGACCAGAATCGTGGACCGCGTGCTGGTGGTCTCCCCGCACCAGGGGTTTACATCAGGCCTCGGGAGCTGCCTTGTGGCGCGAGGAACTGGGACCATGTTGCCAAGGCTGGGGCCCTTTTGCTAGGGGCTGAGATTATGTTGCCAGGGCTGGGGTCCTGTTGCTACGGGTTGGGTCTGTTGCTAGGGACTGGGACTATGTTGCCAGGGCTAGAATCCCGTTGCTAGGGCCTGGGGTCAATTACCAAGGCTGGGGTCCTCTTATTAGGGCCTGGATTTGCTTTGCCAAGGCGGGGGCCCTGTTGCTGGGGACTGGGATGATGTGGGTAAATCTGGGTCCTGTTGCTAGAGCGCTAGGTCCTGGAGTGCCAAGCTGAGGGTTCTGTTGCTAGGGACTGGGATTATGATGGTGGGGTGCTGTTAACTAAGGGCTGGAGTTGATCTTTGCTGCTAGGGTTGGGTGAGTGCCCGGGGGTGCAGCTGTCAAAGAACTTGAATGCTTTCTTTAGGGTTTGGATGGTATTTCTGGTAACTGGCACAGTGGTGCTGGAAGGTCAGGGTCCTGTTTGACTTTTGGTTCTAATGTCTTAGAGACTAAGGGCAGTTGCTAGGGACAGGGGTCATTCATTAATCCACATTTATTGAGTGCCTGCTGTATGCCAACCATTGTTGTAGGTTCCAGGTTACAGCAGAGCATGTGCTGGGCAGACCCGTCCTTGAGGGAGGACCTTAGACCTTGTGTTGGCTTTCCATTACTGTAACAGAGGCATGAGACAATCAGATTTTTTTTGTGTGTGTGTGTACCAGGGATTGAACCCAGGGGTGCTTAACTGCCGAATCACATCTCCAGACCTTTTAATTTTGAGATAGGGTCTTGTTAAGTTGCTTAGGGCCTCACTAAATTGCTGCGGCTGGCTTTGAACTCACCATCCTCCTGCCTCAGCCTCATGAACCGCTGGAATTACAGGCGTGTGCCCCCACGCCCGGCTGTTTTGGGGGTCCCATCCATGCTAGTGGACCCTTGGGCTTTGGGCCTGTGGTCGGGCAGCACCTGCTGGTGGAGAGTGAATGGTGGAGCAGGCTGCCCAGTTCATGGCAGGAACAAGAGAGAGTGAGGAGGACGCTGAAGTCCCATCCCCCATTGGCCAAAAGACCTCCGCTAGGCCCAAATCTTAGAGGTTCTGTCACCTCCCAGTAGTGCCAAGCTGGGCGCTCACCCTGTAATACCCGGGCCTTTGGGGACAGCCATGTTCCAAGCCCCAGCAGAGCCCCAGTGTCATGAGCAGGCAGTGGTGAGCTGAGAAGGCTCAGCTGGTCCTCTGTGGCCCAAGCACAGAACCGCGGGGTGCAGTGGCAAGTTGCCAGTGCCCATCAGCCTGGCCACTGAGCCCTGTGGAGGGCGCAGCCAGCCTGCCCAGCTCCACCCCTGCAGCTGGCGTGGAAACCCAGATTAGCCAAGGACTGCCGGGCGAAGGGAAGGACAGGGCAGGGCTGGTGACATGGCATGGGGCAGACTCGTGGTGGACGGGTCATTGCCTAGGAAAGGGTGTGCACTGTGAGGGCGTAGTGAGGGGCTGGAGCTGACCCCAGAAGAGCAGAACGGCAGGAGGGCCCCAGGACGGGAGGAAGGCCTGGGTTGCGGAGGCCTTGGGCACAGCCCCGCTCATCCCTGGGTCTTGGCACATGAGGCCTTCCTTCCCTGGACCCCAGCGTCCTGGTTTGTGAAGTGGGGACCATAGGTTGGGGCCTGGTGCCCAGCAGGCTGTGACAGCCAGTTGCTCTTGACCTTGCTGACATGCCTGGGTGGTGGGGAGGAGCCCAGCAGGTTCTCTCTGTCCTCAGGGGAAGGACAGAACTCAGAGTCCACGGGAGACCCCATTCAGATCATCCCTTCTGCCCCTGCCCCACTTTGCTTAAGCAAACCCCCTAAAACCCCTTGTCTGCAGGGCTCTGATACCCTGCCCCTCACCCCGCCTCACCCCAGGCACTGCCTCAGGGCCTTTGCATGGGCTGTGCCCTCTGCCTGGGGCTCCCTCTTTTCTGCAGTTAGATAGCCTGAGGGCTCCTCCACTTCCTTCTCCTGGCTGCTAGACCTAAAATCCCACCTCTGGCTCCAGAGGTGGGGGAGGGGCTGCAGCCCTCTGATGGCTGCCAGGTGGGAGGGTGTGGATTCTCCCTGGGGCCTCCGCAGCCACACCTGGATCCAGCCCAGGGAGGCCCGCCAGGCTCCTCATCCTCAGGCCCTCAAGCAAATAAATTGGTGTCTCTTAAAGCCACTCAGTTTGTGCCCTTTGGGACCATAGCTGCCCCTGTGGCCACGCCCTCCAGGCCCAGGGCTTGGGGACTCCACCTCTCCACCTCTGTGGCTCCTCCGCGGGTTCAGCAACTGTGTCCCACAGCAGGAAATGGGAGACCTGGTCCAGGCGCTTGTGCGGCCTGCTGCCTGGGCAGCTGTCTCCTGGCCGGGCTGCTGGGGCAGCCTGTCCAGTGGGGCTGTGCGGACCTTGGCCGCCTCCACACCCCCCTAACTGCCCCCGCGGGGCCGGGCAGTGTCTGGACCACGGGCTCCCGTGTGAACTGAGGAGGCCCCGGCTGCAGGGAGTGCAGGGCTCTGGGGAGGAAGGGCACCTCCACCTGGTGACCATCCCACCTGCGCCCTCCTGGCACTGCAGACCCTGCCCACAGCCACGGGCCAGGCTTCTTCCCCACCCCAGGCCTGCCCCAGCAGCAGGTGGTGTTATAGGGGCAGCAAGGGGTCCCAGGGAACCCAGGGGCTGCCGGCTGGACGCGTCCTGTGGCTGGGTCGGGCGGTGGGGCAGTGTGTGGCCGGTGAGCGGCCCTTGAGCCTCCCTCGACCTGGCCTCCCCCACAGTGGCAGGAGTGCAGCAGCGTAGAGGTCACCAGGGCCCTGGGCAGAGTGGCCCTGGGTTAGGACCACTGGTCTGAATTGACGGCCAACCTGAATGGGTGGTATGGCCAGGAGAGTGGTCGGGGTGACCAGGGGTGACTTTAGAGGTGAGCCTAGGGACAGCTCTGTGCTGGACACTGTGGGGTGGGGTCAGTGTTTCTGTGCAGTGCCCAGGTAGAGCTGGACTGTTGTGCCAACTGGCCTCCAGGAGGAGGGGTAGGAGTTGAAGACACTGGCCAGGAGACGAGAGAGATGGCCAGGGGGTGAGGGAGACGGCCAGGGGGTGAGGGAGATGGCCAGGGGGATGGTGATGGCCAGGGTGAGGGCGATGGCCAGGGGGTGTGGGTGACGGCCAGGGGGTGAGAGATGACCAGGGGATGGGGTGATGGCCAGGTGGGCAGGGTGATGACCAGGGGATGAGGTGATGACCAGGTGGGCAGGGTGATGGCCAGGAGGTGAGAGATGACCAGGGGATGGGGTGATGGCCAAGGGGGATGGTGATGGCTAGGGTGAGGGCGATGGCCAGGGGGTGAGGGCGATGGCCAGGGGGTGAGGGCGATGGCC